CAAACTTTGATGCAACAATTATCCCATATGTTTGTATTTTGTATAATTGTTGAAGGTTTAGAGGCTTCAAAAGCTGCACAATCCTTTTGAAAATGTAAATCCGGCCCTATGTTTATATGCACATAAGTGTCCCAGTACTACCCTAGTCTTGTTCATATTTGGCATGATGTCCATTCATGCAACATTATCCTGATTTCTTTGAAAGTACGCCAGCTAGTACACCAATGTCTTCCAAAAACAGAGAAAGGGCTTATCCAAGTTACTATAACCAGGATAACCATGTGTAAAACATAACTGTCTTCCTCCAAAATACAAAACGTGTTTGCATAATGTAAGCACTCATTCATCAAAAAGCGCTTTGCAGAGCAGAAACACATTAATTCCAGTCCAAACTAGAGACCCATGTTTAAGAAATGAAGCCGGAGCTTTTGTGGTGTCTGTCACACACAGGGGAGAGTTAGAGGCTTTTTTTTTCAAAGACACTCACATTAACAAAATCCAACACCTGCTCATCCTCCACACTGCCCTCAAGGCACTTCCCAGCAGTAAAACACATCTCTGTTTAGTAACACTTTGGTTATGTAGTATCACTCCCGCTGACTGACAGTATCGGAGCGGAGAAGCGTCGGGCCGCGTGTTAAATGGGTAGAATGTGAGGGAGGCTGTTGAAGGATAGGCACAGTGGGTTAACTTGTGCATGTTTAAACAAGCCACTTTCTCACTTAAAAAAACATACGGACATCCATAAAAATATTCCTGCAATGATGATTTCAACATATGAGCCTAGGAAAGAAAATAAAGGTGTTTGTCATTGTTCTATATTGAAATCATATTGCTGGCCTCGTTGCTGCCAGTTAGCATCCTTTTCTCTGTTATATTAGCACGTAAACACTTCCATTCTCCAATCTAAAGGTGCAATTTGTAAGATAAAGCCAGACTTTTCGTTTCAAACGTACAATAAATTCACTCAAATTATCAACGTGAAGGGGCTGCAGTCTTGACATCATGTCAAAGTGATTTGTGTTTTGTGTCTCGGAGATAGCCTATGAAATTAGCATGCTAATCGACTAGCCAACAGCCTGTCTTGTACTGTATAGTATTACCACTTGTTCCTCAAGATGCAACAGTTAGTCAATATAGCGCCAGTCAGCCCAGTTAGCAGTTAGCACTTAGCTTGAATTCTTCCGGAACAAACCCCAGCAAATAAAAGTTTTTATTTTAAGAAAGCTGCTCAAGCTGCATTCACGTGATACACGATTTGCTCTTTGCTCATCGCTAGGTTTTAGCGCAGAGCCTTGCGGTCAAAACAACTGGTTGAGTTTAATTTCTATGCTACTGCTTGCTTACCGCTTCATACAGCTGTCATCTGAGTGCGTGTTGAAAAGTCAAAGGTAAAAGGGGTCAAAGATGAAATAATTTTTACTTTGAGTGCTCAATGACAGTTTCGGGTAGCGCTTCCGCTTATTCGGGCGATACCGCCAGTCGTGTGAATGCAGTTTCAGAGTTCCAAAAGTTTGAAAGAATTTTGCTTATCCTTGCCCTGGTGTTAGTAATTTATTTTAAACTGATGATGATACATTTAGTTTGTATGACTAGCAGAGGTGAAACGCTGCCTCCACCTCTTTGTAACCTTAGCAGCCCTGTTACCTTTGCGTTATAGCACTTATCAGTGTGTGTGTCTCCCACCAATGAAACCTGCCCATTGTATATTGTGTCATGTTAGTTATACTGTCCATAGCTTAATCGTTTTTTACAGTTGGCTCAGCTGTGGGTGCAGGGGTGAGGGAGCAGATGCAGAGAGAGGACCCCCCCCCCCCCCATCTTCTGGGAGATGGGGAGGGTTGCCAGGTTAATGTACTTGACCCAATGAAAGCCCGGAGCAGAGCCTATGAAAACCCTTTTTTAGGGAGGCCAGGAGCCGGCCTGATTTATGGCCTCTTTGCTGGATGGAGTTCAGCACTTGCACCGCAGCAGAGGCATCGACGGCAGCAGCTTTTAATCCCCCCCCCCCCACCGGCCCCAGACACGCCTCACTGCTGAGCCACTGCTTCATCTACAGTTGGCTCACGTGCAGCCGGAGCTCCGCTCCTCCATTTTGGGGAGTGCAGATTTCCAGCACAAGGTTATATAATTTCAAATGGTGACAGTGTCTGTATGGAAGAAAAGGAAAGGGGGGAGGGGGGGCCTGACACAGGAAAGTAATTAAAAGAATGGATGGTCTGTTAATTCACACCCGTGCGACAAATATGTTAGCATTGTCTGACCTAGTTAGCCTATTTCCTAACAGCTGGGAGGAAAATGGTAATGTGGGTTAAGTGCCCTGCCGAAGAGTGTGTAACCCCCCCGGCTAATGCCATATTTCACAGGGTGGATATGAGTGCATGGTTTTACATAGTGAAAACTTCAATTGGCCCAGCCAACTGGAAGCAAATCTCTTTTATTTCATCATTAAACCAGTGGAGTGAGTCTTATTTGTGTGCATTAACCACAAATACAGGAAGGTTGTGCCCTGAATGACACACTGAACCCTTATCTCATGTGAACTGTGAAAAGCCCTTGTCTTGAGGTCCATTTTAAATAAAATAGTGTGACCATTAAGGTAACCAGGGTTTTAAATTATACAAAATTCCTTCCCAGGGTTCCTGTGGATCATTAAAATGTACTAAAATTAGTCTTTAACTTGTAATAAACGTTCTTAAATGAATGAGAAAAATAAATAAAACGTGGCCACGTTTTACTTTCTCGTTCGCACGAGTTAATAAAGCGTGCGCACGAGTTAATAAAGCGTGGCCTCGTTGTATTTAAATTGAGGGATTCCTGTCCGTGACTCACAGTATCTGCTGCCCACAGCTGTTTTATAGAAGGAAAACCTCCTTCACTTTATGAAATCTCTGCGGCACCAGTGGCCTGTACTACGAAGCAGGATTTGCTATTTACACTATTCATTCATGAAGTATGACGCTGCGCTGTCAGCACGCGTCTCCATGTTTGTGATTGGTCAAATGTTGGTAACCCCGTCCCTTTCACGTGAACGTGCTCTCAGCCGGACAGAGAAACCCTGGTTGATTTACTGAGTTGATAACCAGCTTCGTAGGACCGCTTATCAACATCGCGTTTGTTAGGGTTAGTTAAGCCGGGTAAATCGAACATATCCAGGTCCAGGGTCTGTTGAACTGGCTTCGTCGTACAGGGCACTGGAGGCAGTAACGTGTAACTCAGCAGAATCTGAGAAGAGCAGCACCAGCTGCAAAGAGCTGTGCCTTTTACTGTTTACTTCACTGCGTTTCCCTTCATTAGAACCGCTGAATAGAGATCGAGGCTGCTACGTTTAACCACACACACCTATACACACATCGAACTACCAGAGTATTCCCCCTCGCTTTATGAAGGAGATGTCCTGTCACCGGGGCGCATGGTGTGTGTGTGTGTGTGTGTGTGTGTGTGTGTGTGTGTGTGTGTGTGTGTGTGTGTGTGTGTGTGTGTGTGTGTGTGTGTGTGTGTGTGTGTGGGTGTGGGTGTGGGTGTGTGTGTGTGTGTGTGTGTGCTCAGCTCCGCTCTGTGTGCGTGTTCGTGTGTGTGTGTGTGTGTGTGCTCAGCTCTGCTCTGTGTGCGTGTTCGTGTGTGTGTGTGTGTGTGTGTGTGTCCAACACCACCGGCATTTGTTTTCAAATTACCACGAACAGTACTTTACACAAATCTGGTTCTCCATAGTGTATTCCCAAGTGAAAGAAATGTGTTTAATCTTAATCTCGATGTGCTATAGTCCTGCCGGAGTGCACCGGAACGAACGATACTATCATAAACAAATGCCCCCACACACACGCACACACACAAAACGAGGCCACGCTTTAGTAACTCGTACACACGCTTTAGTAACTCGTGCGCACGAGTTACTAAAGCGTGCGCACGAGAAGGTATCTCGTGCGAACGAGAAAGTAAAACGTGGCCATGTTTTATTTATTTTTCTCTCTATGAACCCTCCAGGGCTCCGTACAACTACGTTTTTTATGAACCATTTTATTTTCTGACATTGCCATTTTTAAATCTTGAAATAACAGTTTTTTAAAAATAATTTTATCAAAAACTTTTAGGTCACACAGATCAGAATAGTAGAACCATCAACAATCGCAAAGAGTAGATTTGGAAGTTTAATAAAAATGTGCTTTTCAACTAAGATTTTCTTCAATGTATCTAAGATGCCCCTTGTGATAGCGGTGACTGTTCCAAACTCGGCACATATTTTTGTCACAGGCATTCTTGTAATCTAAATGTTCCACTATGAACAAAATGTTTTTTTAAATCTGGATTTATAAAATCCTTATGAGAGTCAACGCAAAAACTGTATTTTATATACATTTTTTTCTAAGTTTTTCATTGTGGACATTTCCCAGCATGCACCAGGGACACAGACATTTGCATAATTGTGTTCCTGTACTGGTTCTGGTGTAAATGTGTTTAACGATGTGTTCTACAACTGTTCCAAAATGGCCTTGTAATACACACAATTGAATGTGGTAAGAACATGAGTGATGTTGTGCATATGATTGACGATGCTACCCAATTACAATATTAGACTTTTAATATACAAATATTTTTAGCAGGCCAGATTTTTGGCCTAAATACAAGAGACATTATTTTTTATTAGAAATGAATTAATCAACATGAAAATATTTATTGTTGAGTCAAGGTTGAAATGTTTTCAGTATAGAAAGTATTCTGTTATTCAGCACATATATTGGTGTGGGTTTGTAAAGAGCTGTTTAGACATCTTAAACTCTGCGAGCAGCACCCCCCAGGCTCTCCTGTGGTTGTTAATCTATAACGCAGAAGCAAGGTAAAAGAAATTATGCAGACCTTGAAAAAGCCTGGCTTAAATCGTACTTGAAGTGACTGATGGGCAATACACCTTGAAAACTGCATCTAAATGAGATTTATGATAAAGCTCTGTGACGTGTGGTGTTTACCTGCTAATTCTTTTGATTCTCGGTCTCTCTTGGCAGCGCGATCCGCATCAGTCGGAAGGGATGGCACATGCTTCTCAACTTCTGTTTCCACACGGCGCTGACCTTTGCTGTGTTTGCCGGCGGCATCAATCGAATCAAATACCCCATCATCTGTCAAGCAGTAAGTGCATTCCCTTTTCATCCACTCTCAAAGCTTTTCAGAAAATGGATTATGAATGTCCACTCAGATGTTGTCAACCACAGCCTCTAGTGCAGTATGTGGACGTATAGTAACCCGGCATTATGTGTCTTTCATGCTTCAGCTGCATGAATGATCTGGTCCCTCTCATGGTTAAGTGTTGACACAATGAGCCACTATGGTTCAGGGTCTTCCGTCATGACTGCACTTACTCTCTGGCCCTCTATTGTTCGTGTTGTTGCCTGGGGTTAATGGTGGGCCATATTGCCCAGTGTTATATCATTTTTCTGGGCATTGACGAAAGTGGTATGTAAAACATTGTTATTGTCATTAGAATTCAATACGAAACAGTTTGGCATAATCTTGCATAATTACCACTATTCTGTTCATTAAATAAAAGTTTTTGTGTCATGTTTTTCTGGAACAATGATCGTGGGATTATACGAGGGCTGTCAATCGATTAAAATATTTAATTTTGATTAATCATTTTGATTTCCAAAGTTAACTTTTGATTAATTGCGATTGGGATTTAATACTCAGGGTTTAATCAACATGGGAGTAGACGAATGTGATTGTTTCTTAAAAATATATGTGTATTACTATTGCAACAATCCAACTGGGGAACTGTCCTTTCTCCTTTTGAGCTTTTTTCTGGTGTTTAGTGGTGTTAAAAGGAAGTTGCATTAACGCATTATTATCGCATTACCTTTGACAGCCATAGATTATACATTATATAACTTATTTGATCAGGTTCACAAGCACATCAACAATGCATGTGTTTGATGAAGGATCTGGAGATTATGGTAAATACACCAAATATTGCAGGTCATGGAGCAACCGTCTCCATATCCAGTGCCAATGTACGCTTCCAGTCCTCATAGACCAATTTGCTTTACAATGTTAACATAGAACTTTACAAATATATAAAATTAGACTACAATGTAGTTCTATTTATGATCTTCACAATATACCTAATTTCTCTTGTGCTGCATGTCCTGAGTTTGTTGAGCAATCAGAGGCTGCGTCTGGTCTGAACTCAACATGACCAGATGTCCTTGTGCAGAGTTTCTAACCTTAAATTGCCCCCGTCAAGTACCGTATTGTGTAAATGTATGTTAGTGTCTGTAAATGTAACATTAGACCTGCTAAAGTTCAGCATGTTAACATTGTCTTTGTTAGCATCCACTCACATTAGCATCTGCTAACAATGGTATTTAGCTCAAAGCATCGCCTCTCCTTATAAAGCTCTTAGCATAGCTGTCTTGTCAGCTTGGTTATTTTTGTCAGTTTGTTGGAGATAAGTATTCCTCTAGCTTTCATCAAACATCATGAAACTAATTGCATACTTATCAAAACCCTTGATGCATCTTTCAGCTGTTCTGTACATATTGAAAAAAGCTTCTGGAGCTACTGCTGCCTGAGAAGATGGATATTCCATTACAGCAGAATGTCCCTGCAGTTGGACTTTCTGACCCTTTGCAATCACTGTGTGGTCACATGGGTGGTGCCTCCATCTCTGCAGCCCACAGTTATGAATGAGTAAAAGAAGCTCTGCAGAGGGTCCTGGAGATTTGGGATGTCAGGATACATTTGAAACGGGTCAGAGAAACGCTTTATTGCCTGCTGGCACCATACTATTTTCAGTTTGTTATTCATCAAGAATGTGGGTGGAAAACACGATACAGCAGCTTTCAGATTTGTATTATGTAAGAAGACGAATACTTTTTATTTTATTTTGGGGTGTACTGTCCCGTTAAGGTAGTCAAGACTTTTGTCAAGATAAGGTGTAGGTGTCAAAAAGAGCGTGAATACAAATAATGTTTCCTTTTTTACTTTTCCTCATGGGTGAAAAGCCATATTTACCTGGTGGATTTCCTTTTCATGTGATTGATAGCTGGCCTTGTCCAGGTTTTTCGCATTAAACATCGGCTGGAACAGAGTATCCTCCACTGCCAGCTCACCTCAGTGGGGGTGCATTTACCGTACTTAGGCGCAAAGAGATTGATGTACACTTCCACTTTTCACTCAGAGTTTCAAATGCCTTCACTCAGTCCCTGTTCTCCCTCAATGGGCCGTGTTCTCTCCCTTCACTGTGAGCTGCAGTGGGTTTGGGACTTAGCTGTGTCTTCTGCTGTCACAAGCACTTTAGGTGGCCCCTTTATTCCATAGAGTAAAGACTCAGACTCTCCGCGTTGAAACGGAGAGCGTCATTTTTCATGTCAGAGCTGCCAAGCACAGGTGACAGGGAAGTCTGTAAGCTATGCGGATGACACACAAATGTACGTAACAATTTCACCAGGAGACTATGCTCCAATTCAAACACTGAGTAAGTGCATTGAACAAATCAATGACTGGATGTGTCAGAACTTTCTCCAATTAAACAAAGATAAAACTGAGGTAATGGTTTTTGGAGCCAAGGCAGAACGTATAAAAGTTAGCGCTGAGCTTCAGTGTGCAATGTTCAAAACAACAGATAGAGCCAGAAATCTAGGTGTAGTCATGGACTCTGACCTGAGTTTCAACAGTCACATTAAAACAGTTACTAAATCAGCCTACTATCACCTAAAGAATATATCTAGGATTAAAAGACTAATGTCACAGCAGGATTTGAAAAAACTTGTCCATGCTTTTATCTTCAGTAGACTCGACTACTGCAATGGTGTCTTCACAGGTCTCACTAAAAAATCTATTAGGAAGCTGCAGCTGATTCAGAACGCTGCTGCTCGAGTCCTCACTAACACTAAGAAAGTGGATCACATCACTCCTGTTCTGAAGTCTTTACACTGGCTTCCTGTGTGTCAAAGAATAGATTTCAAAATACCGCTGCTGGTTTATAAAGCACTGAATGGTTTAGGCCCAAAATACATTTCTGACCTCCTGCTAAATGATGAACCATCCAGATCTCTCAGGTCTTCAGGGACTGGTCAGCTTTCTGTTCCCAGAGTCGGAACTAAACATGGTAAAGCAGCGTTCAGTTATTATGCTCCAAATATCTGGAACAAACTCCCAGAAACCTGCAGGTCCGCTGCAACTCTGACTACTTTTAAATCCAGGCTGAAGACTTTTCTTTTTGTCGCTGCTTTTAATTGAACTATTCATATCTTAGACTGCACTGTAACTTTTATCCATGTACTTTTTCTTTTAATGTTTATTTTATTATCTTTTCTTTTTAATGACTGATTTTAAATGCCATTTTCTTAATCTCTTTTATTTTTTGTAAAGCACTTTGAATTGCCTTGTGTTGAAAGGTGCTATATAAATAAACTTGTCTTGCCTTGCCTTGTAAGAAGTCGCCACATGTGTCACAGCCGACAAGTCTTCCTCGACAGCTGCTGACAGGCATATACTCAAAATACTTCCCACCACTCCAAGATCGAAAGACGTCAACGCCAAAAGGCAGTTTTAATAGTGTACTGATACTATAAATCATCACCATTTCCTAATCAGGCATATTTAGTTAATTGTTTATCAATCAATCAATGGAAATACTGTATTAATCCCAGGGGGAAATTAAGTTTCTTGCCGTGGCACCATATTAGAATAAAAATAGGCTCAGGCTTATTGTGAAGACATGGTGAAGTTCTCGGTCATGTTTTCAAAAGCACATTAACATAGACTTCTAAGTAAGGTGGTCCGTCTGACTCCTAGCTAACGCCGTTAGCTTGTCCATTCCATTAGCCAGTGACCTTACATTGCCCATGATGAGAGAGGGGAGCAATGGGCTTTATCTAATTTTCTCCATACATCTGGACCCATCTCACCTCCTTTTCTCTTTTGTTAACCCATGCACCCTCTGTGTCCTTCTCTAGATTGCAGTGCTGATAGCAGTGTTCAGACCACTTTGCTAGCAGGCTTTAGCGTGATTAGCTTCTCCCTGGTATAAACAAGTCAGCCATGTGGTTGCTGCGCAACAGCGACATGGATGCATCACAGCAACAACTCAACAATGAAAAAAATAAATAAAATGGGCATAGCTTAATAAGTTATCCACAGAAAATTAAGATAAGATTAATTAAGAAAGCTAAAAGTTGAAATAAGTACAAATCTAGCAAGACCAACTGCATCAGACTGTACGGTTGGCGCATGCCCACTGAATCTAAAATATGAAGTAGCAGGAGATAAGAAACTAGAGATTGCGACACAGAAATGTGTGTATGTATCAGTGGCGAACCGTCAGGGCCTTCAAGGTATTCAGAGAACCCAAAGAAAAAAATCGATTTAATTATATAATTAAAATGTGAATAAATGAGAATGGTATCTGTGTTGTTGATCTGTAATATTACAGTGTTACGTTGATTTGTTTGTCCTTCTTGGTCCATGCACTACGCATTTCAGTGGTTTTGTGTTAGAAAATAAATGCAACCAATCAGATATTGTTCTGGGTCTCTGGGTAGAATATCCTTTGCGTGGCGGCAGGTGTGTTTGTGTCTACAGAAGGTCCAGTTGTGATAGACACAGTTCGCCACTGGTGTGTATGTATGCGTGTGTGTGTGTGTGTTTAACAATCTGAGTTGCACAAAAAACTCTGGTTTATTGAGTCATCCCTTTTCCAAACAAATACAATTATACAGCTTAAATATGAACATTGATAGTTAGGACCAATATACAAAATTACTCAAGCTCAAATCACCACACAGATGTGTTAAATATTAAATATGACACTTGTGAGGTGGGGGCCATTGGGGGGGCCAGCGGTTGCATCAGTGTGGTCGCACTGCTACTGACCTCCGATGGAAATACCTGTGTCTTAAGCAGCAGAATCCTCCTGTATGTTCCCAGCAGTAGCTAACTGCTCGCTGCCAGGTGTTGTGCAGGTGCAGTTTTCCCTGAGAACAGCTGCGTGCTGCTGCAGCTGAAAAGAGAGCAACACCATGAGAGTGAACAGTAAACAGAGAATATGTGAAACAATGAGCCACAGCTCACATAAACAGCTCCATAAAGCCATGGCAGCTGCAGCTACTGCTGATCAATCTCTATGAGTT